CCTTGGAAATGATCGAGCAAATGGAGCAGAAGAAAGCAGAGCTCAATTGGAAACTGGCGATGCTGAAGGGCCAGGTGGAGCCGACCAAGAGCTTGATCTATGAGGAGGCCATGCTCAAGGCGTTGAAGGAGTTCTTCGTGGACGTCCCGGACAGGTTGTTGGCGAAGTTGGTGGTCACACAGGAGTACGACGTAATGAAGCTGCCGTGGAACAGGCGGAGGAGGAGAACCATTGAGAGAGCAGAGAGGATCCACCTGCATCTCTTTTCGGGCACGGAGAAGAAGTGGATGGACATGGAGAAGAGTGGAACGGTCATGATCTGCCTGGATAAGGTGAACAACCCCGGGCAGGATTTGCTCAACGACGATGTCTACGGCTACCTCATTGCCTTGGCAAAAAGTGGAGCTGTGGTCAGTGTGATAGGCGGTCCGCCTTGTCGCACGGTGTCGGCCTGCAGATCAAGATCGCCAGGACCTAGACCGGTGAGGAGTGAGGAGTATCCCTATGGCTTCTCAAACCTCACGAACTCGGAGAAGGAGATGGTGGAAGGGGACTCAGTGCTCTGGTTGAGAATGATGACGTTGTACGTCGTGGCGGAGGAGACTGCGAGGAGACGGAAACTCCCTGCGGTGGCGTATGGGCAAGAACAGCCTCGGGATCCTGGGGACTACAGGGTGGACATCCCGAGGGAACACCTGGTCAGCATCTGGCGATTCCGGGCGTGGGAGGCATTTGCCAAGCGGTATGAGATGGAGATGATCCACTTTGATCAAGGACCGCTAGGGCATGAACGGAGAAAGCCGACGACCATAGCCACCAACCTGGAGCAGATGCGGGGACTGGGGGAGGTTACAGGACCCGGTCAAGGCGGAGAAGCATGGTCGGAGAACCTGCAGGAGCGGATCACTCAGACCAAGAGGTGGTCAGCATGGGCGCCGGGGCTGGTGCAAGTGTTCAAGGAGGCGCTGCAGAATCATGAGAAAGAAGGGCTGGGTGTGGTTCGAGCTCTTCGGCCTCTAAGCGCTGCAGCAATGGAGCAGTGGAAAAGGCATTTCGCGTGTGATCATCAACCAGCACGGCGAGATTGTCGGGTCTGTGTGGAAAGCCAAGGAAGAGGCCGAGCACATCGGAGAGTTCAACATCCACAGGCGTACACCTTGGCGGTGGATCTGTCGGGAAAACTGGCGGCTGGGAAAGATCAGAGATGCCAGGCGAAGTACTTCGTGGCAGCGGTGTACACCTATCCGGTGAATGGAGAAGGAAGATCTCTGCTTGCTGAACCTCAAGAAGAAGCGGAACCGGAAGCCGGAGATGTGGAAGAAGTGGAGGTTGATATGCTGGAAGAAAAGGAAGAAGGAGAGCAGATGCCCGAGGAAGAGGTCAGGAATGAGATCCAGGCGGGGGACATCTGGGAGAAGAAGGTAGAAGAGATGCAGGATGTGGGGGTCACCAACCTGACGTTTGTGGAGCCGATCACATCAAGACAGGCGTCGGATGTCATCCCGGCGATCGCGCGGATCTATGCGAGGCTCAGGGAGATGGGTCTGCCGGTCTATAGGTTGCACACGGACCGAGCTCGAGAACTGATGGGAGTGCAGCTGAAACGCTGGGCTCAGGACCGGAACATCGTGAAGACCACGGTCCCGGGGGACGCCTTCAAGGAGAACGGACGGGTGGAGGCAGAGATCGGGGTTCTAAAAAGGGCGACGAGAACATTGCTGAAGGCGAGCGGAGAACCAGCTACCTTGTGGCCGATGGCGTTGAGGCATGCTGGAGAGCGACGCCTACGGAGGCAATTGCACGCGGTGGGTCTGCCGGTGAAGGAAATGCTGCCGTGGGGGACGATCGCCTACGTGAAGAAGAAGAGTTGGAATGAAAGAGGTCAGGACTGGAGGTTTGACCGCGAACGGGTCAAGATCATGGGCCCAGATGCAGTGATGTCAACAACATCAGGTGGCTATTGGGTGAGGAGCTGTGAGGATGGACGGCATTTTGCCACCACGGATGCGATCAGGGAGCCCGAGGAGGTGATCATCGACCCGGGGGAGGAAGTGGTACTTGAGGAACGAGTAGGTGCGGACCTCTTGATGCCGAGAGCGGAAAGGCCAAGGAGGCGACTGCGGGAAAAAACAGCTATGTCGACGATGATCGTCGAGGGGGAGAAGGTAGAGGACCAGGCCCACTTCGAAAAACGGCACCAACATGTCACTCAATGGGTCAAGGAAGAGTTGGAGATTTTAGATGCAGAAGGAGAAGATCAAGAGATGTGGCTTGGAGTACTACGAGAAGGGCTACAACGGAGGAACCACATCGAAGCTGCACTGAACCGGATGCAGGTCGAGGGCGCAGCGAAAGCAGAAGAGGAGTGGCTCGTGACGAAGACGGTGTCGATGGGCGAAGTGAGGAGCGAACTGGAAGAATGGAAGGTGGCGGCGAAGAAAGAGTACACGGCATTGGTGGAGGAAAGCAAGGCGGTTAAGCCGATCAGGAAGAGGGACATCGACCAGATCCAAGGCCCTGTCGAAGTTCTTCCGGCCAAGGCTGTGTGTACCAGGAAAGCGCCGGATGGGCGCCGGAAGGTCAGAGGAGTGGTGTGCGGCAACTATTCAGCCGGCAAGGATGCGGAGAAGCTGTACGCGGGAGGTGCAGACGGGTTGCAAATCCGGATGGTGCTGAGAACTGCGGGACAACGAGGATGGAGCCTTTTGTGTACGGACATCCGCACGGCGTTCCTCAATGCTCCGCGAAGAGATGATGGCAGGACGATTGTCATGGAGGTCCCGTCGGTGTTCAAGGAGTTGGGCATCGCTCAAAGGGATGAGATGTGGGTCGTCGACAAGGCGGTCTATGGACTAACCACAAGTCCTAGAGACTGGAGTGTTCACCGGGACATCGAGATCCGCAAGATGGAGTGGGAAGGAGATGAAAAGAGGATGAAATTCCTGGAGACAGAGGAGCCGAACCTATGGAGGATCATTGAGGTAGAGACCGGGGTGGTGCGAGGACTGATGTCCATCTATGTAGATGACGTGATGCTCGCCGGCGAGGACAAGATCATTGAGGCGGCCAAGGCAAGGATGGAGGACGGAGATTGGAAGTTGTCCCCGGCGGAGTGGGCAACGGCTGAGGTGCCCATGAGGTTCTGCGGCTTTGAGGTCTACAAGAAGGATGATGGGTACTTAGTGAACCAGAAGGCCTTCGCGGAGGACTTAGTGGCCAAGTGGGACATCAAGGAGGGCATGGAGGCATTGAGCTACAAGCTGCCGGATGAGGACAGCAAGGATGGCACCCCGGACGAGATCAGAGAGGCTCAGGCTATCACGGGCGCTTTGCTGTGGTTGGCTTCGAAGACGAGACCGGACATTGCGGTGGCGGTCGCAGCAATGTCGAGATGGACAAGGAAGGGTGTGGAGGTTGTCAACCTGGGCAAGGACGTGTTGAGGTATGTCAAGGCAACCACTGATCGGGGCCTGAACTATGGACCGGTTGGAGGATGGGCGTCAAGAGAAGGCCTTGGCATGAAGAGGCGCGTGAACATGGTGGAGGTTTTCGCGGACATCTCCTACGCGTCGGGCGGGGAGGACAAAAGCGTGCAGGGCATTGTGGGCTTTGTGGAGGGAGCTCCGATTTGCTGGGAGTCGGTGAGACAGCCCTTTGTTGCACAGAGCACGGCGGAGGGTGAGTTGATTGGATACTGCGAGGCGCTGACGGTGGGCAGGGCCTTGGTGTCGCTCACGGAGGTCGTCACTGGCGAAAAAGTGGAGTACAAGAGAATGTACGGGGACAACATGGCGGCGATCAGCCTGGCATCCAATGGAGCAGGGAATTGGAGGACTCGACACCTTCGTATCAGGGCTTCGGCTTTAAGGTGGGCCTTGGAGGAGGGTGAGTGGGTGTTGGAGCACATGCCGGGTGTACAGTTGGTTGCTGATGGTTTCACCAAGCTTTTGTTAGGTCAGGCTTTTGGTAGCTTTCTGGTTGAGCTTGGTATGGTGAAACAGGGCCATTGGGCATCCAAGAAGAGCCACTGGGCCGCCGAAGGGCACAAGAAAAAGATCAAGATCGCTAGGGGAGATGAACCAGCGACAGTAGGAAGGCCTGACGGGGAGGAAGCCAGGCAAAAAGGCCTGAGAAGATTGGGCAGGGAAGATGAACCGCCCACAAAGAAGTCCAGGGCAGATGAACCGGACTCAACCCCGGAGGATGGCCGAAGGACCGCAGCTGTTTTGGATAAGAACCACTGCCCATCGGGCTGCCCTCCCAACCTAGGTGAAACTAAGGCTAGGATTATGATGGCGATAGGCGCAAGCCTTGTGGCAAGGGCGGAAGGAGCTAGAGCCGAGGCGGAGATCTCGGGCGTGGAGATGATCGACGTGATCATTGTGATTGGAGGTATCTTGATGGCGATCGGAGCTGCGGTGGTGGCAAGGTGGACGGCCAAGGCGGCCAGCAACGTCATGAAGAAATTGTGGGTGGGGCCGGGAGTTGGTCGGGACAACTCGGTGGTGAAGCCTGCGAGAAAGGAGGTCGACGAGGTCGATGAGCAGCGGAGCAGGAGTTGGTCGCAGAGAAAGGGGCTTGAGCGGCGGAAGCCAACTTCGATGAAGCTGATCGTTGACGATGTGGAGGTGGAAGTCAAAAGGCAGGAGCATGGTTCCGGAGGGGGTCATGGTGCGGCTGGAAGTGGAGAGGAGGCTCGCAAGGAGCCTGGTGGAAGTGGAGAGGAGGCTCGCAAGGAGCCGGGAGGAAAGGAGGAGGTCGAGGAGGAGGGCGGCAGTGCGTCATCATCGGGAGCATTGCACAGGCCGCCATTCAAGAAGTGCAATACAAGTTGGAATCAGTTTCAACATGACCATGCCGGGCGCGGCTGGTCCATGGACTTCATGAGGAAGAAATACTACGAGGAGAAGTACAAGAAGGGGAAGTAGTTTTTGGGTCGTGCCGGTAAATAACCCGGCCGGCGGAGCGGCACAGAAGTGCCGGGGGGAGCCCGATGCGTTATCCGGGTAGCCCCTTTTTTACAAGGACTCAAGCGTGGCAAAAGAGCTGCGCCAACAAGGATTTAATTCTGCAGGACCAATATCGCCCCACATCATTCCATCGCCATCTGTTGTGAAGGCAATGAAGGAATTCCCGAAGGCATAGATATGGTCGAATCCAGTCTTCAGTTGCCTGAGCCCGTACAAAGATACTGGATTTGTTGGTCATTGGCTGGAAGGCCGAACTATTAGGCAGTGGCTAAGAGATCCATCATTCATCACTTCGTTCTGGACTAGCCACTCTCCTCTCTCCTGTCTCTTTATCCCTTATTCTCTTTCCTTCTCTCCCCTATCTGACTCTTGCCTCGTTCGGCCTGGCGAAAGGAGAAAAGAGAAAAGAGACTCATCATTCTCACTCACCTAACCTCATCCGGTGAGTGATAAGAGATGGCCCAACCCTTACCAGCCAAGAGGAGAGAAATGGCTGGTGAGATAAAGGGTTGGGTGATTCCTTTTCCTTCTTTCTCTCCTCGCGGCTGTTAAGAAATGCATGGCTCTGCAAATGGATGACCGACATCTCGCCTCTTCAGGTGCGGTCCACGCCACAAAACCCGTGGACTCAACCCTTTCCTGATACTTTTGGTTCTTCACCCCGCAGTGAGTCATTTAATTGCTCGCGCTCAGAACATAGCCTGGTGCTGGTGTTGTTTTTGCCTACGTACCAGGATATCTAAGCCTAACCGAGAGCCCCTGGCGTCATCCACATGGGATCAGGTATGTGACATGGGTCACACTTCCCTTCACAGGCTGTTGTAAAATTTCCCTTTTTTAAGGGCCCGCAATCAGCCAAGTAGCGCTTTACAACAGCAATCCTACCAGGTGTACCAACCAAAGGAAACAAGAACGGTACCGTGGCATATGTATCCCCTTTCTTTTCGTGAGCCCCAAATGAACCATCCGGACCTGCCTCAGGACCTGCCGGCGGGCATCAAACTTAGGTGGGATTTCTCGGTTGCTTTCTGCTCCCCCCGCTCAAAGTTTAAGACTTTTAGTGGCTTGATGGCAAGCCCATTAGTTGGGAAAAAGTTGTTCAGTCCTAACAGCCCTTGGCAAACCGCACCTCTGCTTTGTGTCCACCACGAGTTGTCTGCCGCGGCACGCCGCTTCGCCGGTGCGGCCCCAGGTCGCCAGCTGGCCTTCCAAGGAGACTGCAGCGAAGGCGCTTGCGCCGGGGTACACCTCGGAGCCCAGAATGGACGCCGCCTGGCCTGGAGTCTCCATGACCCCTTAAAAACGGGCCAGTGTTTCCCCTGTATTTTGGGTAATGACCTTATTTTTAAAGGGTCATGGAGACTCTAGGTGGTTTCAAAGGGACACCGTGAGGATTTCAAAACACAACAAAGTTTCTTTTTGGGGGAAACCAGTAGGAGAACTACTTTTAAGATGTTGAGAACCTCGTTCTGAGCCTCTCAAGTCCCGGCAAGCGCCCCAACAATTCCCGTTGATTGTGCGTTTTGGTAGGTGGTTCTACTACTTGGATTTATGAAGGTCATAGTACGGCCTATGCAATCCTTTACTAGCAAAAGCCCTGTCGAACGGGAACAAATCCGGTCAATCATACCCACATTTGTCAGGGGTGATTTATGTTAACACAAACATCAACCCTACCAAAAGATTGGTTGAGCTGATGGCCGGTCCATCAAAACGCAGTTGGTGGTCGGGGGTATGCTGCTCAATAAAAAAACTAACAAACAAGCATCAGCATCGGTGTTTGCCTCTCATGCCCAAGTGCCAGTGCTGCCGAAAGGTCTCAAAGAACCCTCGCATGATCTTCTACCCATCAAGCAGCGCCGGCGCGCCTTCATACCTATCGTCTTGGTGCTATCAATTGAAAGGCAGTAACTCTTCAGAGAGGCAGTGTCTGTTTTTCCATGGCCACTGAGACATAGACATCTTCACACAAAACTCGCCAAGGCACATGTGCGATGTCGCATTCCAGCTGGGACTGCACCTTGCAAGCGAGCGGGTCTTGCTTGGCAGAAGGCTAACAACCGCTGTTCCCAGGTGTACTTGAATAACACAAAAGTGGCAGTGGTAGCCGAGAGCCCCATGCGAGGGAAAGAGGACAAATGGGCGTCTTCTTGTTGGGGGACTATTGGCTTCCTTCAAAAACCAACCAAAAAGGGGCGCCCTCCAAAAACGACTCACACATGTGTTGCCAACATGCAACACCAGCTGGAAAGAGATGGGATGACAGATTTGGAACTTACATTCGGGTATAAAGTCTAAGACGGACATGAATACCATTTGCAGCAAAACAATGTGGGGGTCATGTAAGCTAGATCAGGGTCTGCTTTTTATTCGACGCTTAACAATATTGGTGTCTGCTTTTTGCACTCGGTCAATACAGGGGTCTTAAACCCTTATATGGCTATGGGTCAAAAGCCCGTACCCCCAGTGAACATCACAATCCCAACTAAAATAGGTTCTAAAATGGGTGGTGAATTCACCTACCAACCAAAATGGGATCCCATTGGTTTTGACCCACAGCCATATCTGACTATTGGGTTTCTAGGGGTACCTTCCCCATTCTTTCCAGGGATATTTCTAGAAAACCTCCGGAAACCCAGGGAAAACGGCCGGTTTTTGGAAAACGATGGTTGAAAAGAACGGGGAATCAACCCCTACAGGGTTCTCAGGGTTCACTTCGCGGGTGCACTCCTCTGGATTTTCGCGGGGTCGACCTCCAAAAACTCGTGGCTTTAGAGACACAGAAAGAGAAAGAGACAAGAAAGAAAAAGATAAAAGACAAGGAGAAAAGAGAAAGAGAAAGAAAGAGAGAGAGAGAGAGAGAGAGAGAGAGAGAGAGAGAGAGAGAAGAAAAGAGAAATCAATCTGCGACTCTACAAGGAAACCATATGAAGGGGAACCCCACAAATATCTCCTGCATGGACATCTCCCACAGCCATTCGCTTCATCAACGATGTTGCGCCCACAATCAGCCCTTGAAATTCAGCCCCCCCCCCCCCTGTATGGTGGACACTTGGGTCTATTTTGAAACCTCCTTATTTTGGGGTCTTGGTTTTCTGGGTTCTTGGTTGCAACATCAACTCTAGGTGTCCATGGCACCCCCCCCCGCCTGCAGCCCCCGCCCCCAGGCAGCCCCGCAGCCCGCCCCGAGAACCCCCGCGCCTTCTCAGCATCGCCGCCCGAGGCCGGGTCCCCCCAGCACAGCACGCGGCCATCCGTCCGCAGCGCCGCGAAGGCGCGGCGCGCGGAGTAGAGGAATCGCACCTTCGAGTTGCGAACCGAAGCCGCGGGAGGTTTGGCTCCGTGGGAATAAACGCTTTGGTAGGCCCAGCCATACACCCAGGAAACTAGGTGGGAATTGTTTGGCGCAGCTCACATGCTTTGTTCACTACCCGGCTTGAAATGGAGGCATGCAACCGCTGCGTGAGCACATATTTGGCGTAGACCCCACGATTCCCGGTTGGGCAAATGGATCCATGTAAACAATTGCAAGTCCACACATGACGCGTGTGCGATTCCAAGCGGCACAAGCTCTCTGCCCAACAGTTCGGCCATACATCTGAGTATGCTAGAACCGTTGGACGCACGCCCAAAACCCACAATTAGGGTTGCACAAGGATTATTATCAAGGTTTTTCTACAGGCCTTGTTGTGACCAGTGTCGGAAGTGTAACCACTTCTAAAATGGCCAATGGGAATCGGTTTTCATTTGACTGAGCTGGCACACACACACACTGCGTCCTGAATTAGATGGCGGATGTGAAGCGGAAACAGGGGACCCCGTAACTGTTGGTGTTTCCTTCAAACCATCGCGAAAAGGGCGCACAAATCATCAAGGCTGCTTCTCTCGGCAAATATGAGCGCGGATGCTGCGGAGATGACCTATGGAGGGCGCAAGTTGGACAACAATAATATTTAAAAACAAGTCTCCCGTATCTGCTAGCGCGTGCACAGTACCAAAAGGGGGCGGGCTAGCAGAAACGTCTTTGATGATGTAAACATGTTTTGCTGGCCACTTGCAGGCGGTCTGCCTGACCATATGACTAGTACTCTGTGGTTACTTGAACATGTTAAGTGGAAACCCCTTGTTTGCAATGCGCGAGCTCAGATAGCAGGCTATTTGACGCGTGTTGCTTGATGCGACCCCACAGGATTGCTGACTACATACAGTTGGGCTGCCTCGCTCCCTCCTATTTCTTGATGGGCAATTGACAGAAAAGTATCGAGTGACTTCTGCTTGGTTGAGCCTTTTCAGGCTGTGGTGGCGTTTGGCACCTGATAGGAACCCCCTGTGCCGCTAAAGTGAATCATTTGCAATGTTGCGGCCGATGCAAAATTCAGGCGGGGATGATAGACGCCAACCCGGGCCAAAAGCAAGGATCCTAGAAGTCTATGGCACTCCAGCGTGAGGACCACCAAGCTCGCGCAAGTGCTCGAGAGACTGTCAAAATGACACCCGCAGAGCGGGGATCAGCGTGGTCATGTGCAAAAAAGTTGTTGCTGCTTGTTAGCATGCCCGAGCTGCCCTCTGCAGGGATCGCCGCTTCCAAAACTGAGGACTTTGGCTATTTTTTGACATGTGCGCACGACCCTCTGCGCGGATCGGCAAGGTCGAGGGCATAAACTGCTGGCTATTGCAACTTTCTCCGGAGCGCGCGCGACCCTCTGCGGGATCGGCATGGCCGATCTGCAAAAACTGTCGGGACGCCTGCTGCATTTTGAAACCGTCTGTGGGGATCGGAGCTCTCGACGCGCAAGAACTGAGGACTTTTGCTATTGTTTACCGCACAAAACGAATCTCTGCGGGCATCGGCATGCATGGCAACATGTTTTGCTATGTTTTGAGTTTGGCGCCCCTGTTTTTTTTGAATTTTGTGAAGCATTGTCTGTCAATACTCTCGTGTTTTACCACATTTTGGGTGAGCTCACTTGGGCGGGGGTGCTTACCATGTCTTGCGTGGGCTCACTTGGGCGGGGGGCTTATCATATGTTGGGAGGGATTATGTTCTTGGGATCACCTTCTTGCAAAATTCAAAGTGTGCAAAACGTGGCCTTCTTGCGAAGTGTGCAAACGTGGGTTTTTGCACTGACAGTTTCCGCCTCGATGGCAACAACTTGCATCGTTTGCTTGCGCGAAGCAAATGCTTATAGAAACTTGCACAGACAGTTAGAGCTGGGAAACTTGCATTGATTACTTGCAGATAAATTTGAGCCCACTAGCGGGCGGAACTTGCACACACAACTTGCACGCAGAACTTGCGTCAGAGAAACTTGTGCGGAGATCTCGCGCAGAGAACTTGCAGAGAGACTCTTGCAGCTACGACTCAAACATTCGGGCGACTTTGATGGTGATAGGTCGCACTTCCTAGGTGAGGTGTCATCCAAACAGCAAGGCTCGGCACTTTTTGTTTAAACCGCTAGTCCCTGGACGTGTTGCAAAAGGGAAGGCCAAACGAGGTTGTTTCAGCGATTGGCCCATCCCAGGTGCCCAGGTGGCTTTGTTCGATGGAACCTGGAACCACTGGCACGTGCGGACCTTTGGCAACTTGTTTGACCGTGGGCGGATTTTAAACGGGCAGATGACGACGGCGGAGGCCCGGTTTTCACATCTTGTGTCTGTTTTTTGTTTGGTGTGTGTTTTCCAGATGTTTGCAATCGCACAAACCAGAAGAAGGGATGGTCCAAAATTATACCATAACGTGAGCAGCTTCAGTGTTGGGAAGCAACCCCAGCTGCTGGCTTTCACAATCCCAGAAACAATCAAAGTAACGGCCCCGCTGGGGTGGTCATCCAATTGGGCGCCCGGAACCAGCCCTAAGTGCCTCCAGAAGATCTTCTCTGATGGCCCGGCAGTCGCCACCCCACTCGGCAATGCCCCAGCACAGGACAGAGCCTCAGAAAAGAACCGGACTCATTAAACCATACAATGCAGCCCCCAACAAGCCTTTCTTTTAGCACCATGCTCATCTGAGTTGGGTCCCAAAAGAAGGTTGGGCAGGGTTCCTAAAAAAACAAACATCAGCTGGCAACGGTGCTCGGTTCAGTTCAACCGGTCCAAAGGTATCCTTGAAGGGACCCCCAAGAAACCAGCTCTCTGCCCACTCCGCAGGACCTCTGCGGGGGCCACGTGCGTGGCAGAAGTGACTCTGCAAGTTTTGAATGGACAGGGGCGGTATAGGTGTCCTTCGATCAATGAGCTGTTCCGCTGGAAACCCTAGGATTGAAGTGGTACCAGGATGATCTACTGTTAAGACAGCCCATCGGACTGCACATCGCTATGTCGCAATATTATGTGGCCCGGCAAGCCCTCGGATTCTGACATCAACAGCCAAAGCGTCGAAATCAGGAAAGCTTGCTACTACGCTGCGATTGCAAGGCTTAGGCTGACATGTGGAAACTGGCATTCATTCAAAGTCATGTGGGGGTTGTGCAAAATACTTTGCCTGGGGACCCCCCAATCGCCGGCCAATCGCGATCCAATCGCGATCCCACAGCTGCTTCTGTTTCGCTTTTCGCTGTCTTATCTCAAGCGCTGGCCTTCCTCCATCCATACCTGGAAACTGGAAGGAAGTGTCATAGCTCGGATGGGCAGGGCCTCACTGGTGAAACTCGCCCAACCGCCGTCCAATCGCCGTCCAACCTCAGTCCAATTTGCGGAATTCGTCGGTGACACTTCGGTTTGCAGCTTCCAGCCTCTGCCAGTAAGCAGATTTAGAAAGCACAGCCTGGGCCTGCACAGGCGGAATCAACATTCAGCTTTCCAGGCGTGCAGTCAAAATGAGCGAGACGTGCGTCGGCACCACAATCTAAAACACCATGCAGCGTCCAAATTCACAATAGTTTCGTTGCCCTTTCGCGGTCCAATCGCTGGCCTTTCGCGGCTCGAGTTTTCTCAATCGCGCGGTTCAACAAGTTGTCGCTGTTCATACATTTTAGACATGCAATTACGGACGGCCCCCATGTGGAAACTGGCATTCATTCAAAGACTGAGGCCCTAATAAACCATTCGAGACCACATGTTGTTAAACCTCAACATGTGGCGTCTCAACATGCTGAACCATTCTGCAACCCGATGTCCTCTCAACCTGATTCAATCACCGAAGCCAAATCCTGGCTATGGAACCGATGTGCCCAAATGGTAAAGTTCCTCTATGCCAGGTTGAAGCCTTTTCAAACCGGGCAAAACCTCCGAAGTGGCGTCAGATCCCCACAGTCAGGCAAAACTATCCCTGCGCAACACGCGTGGCTGTGCTGCCAAACTGCCATCGGCGCAGCGCGCGCTGAAAGCACACGATGCACTGCAGATTTGCGTCACACCACCTTCAAGCGCTGTGCAGTTCACAACAGTAGTACACGGTACTTTGCGCTGCACTCAGAAATTGAAGTACCATTCTGCAACCTTCAACGGAGAATGGTGTGAATCCTTCTGGCATCCTTCTTCTCAATTTGCAGACTATCAAAAGCAGCTATCACAACGGCTGGACCCGTGGAA